GTATTTTTTTGGTATTTATTTGATCTATTGGACATGTATTCTTTAATTTGTTTGACCTTTTGACATGTATCTTATATTATTACTATTATTTAAAACTGTAATTTGTTAATTAGCATGCTGACGTTTTGGGCATACTGTAAGCCAGCATGTACACTGTTTAAAATAAAAATAAATAAATAAATGTAGATGGCTATGGGCTACAGCATCCACTTACTATCCGGTGGACTGTCTGCTCGGTTGTCATTTTTATTCTATAAAAAAAAATCACGAGACAAAATAAACGTTAATTGCTTCAACAAACCTAAAAATCTCCTCATAATGTAATTCGAGAGGACATCGTGATCTTGGGATTTTAACTGTTTTAAGATTGATTCAAAATGAATATTTTTAGATTCTATTAAGTTGATTTTCAGTTCCTTATAATAATGCATTTTAAAATAATAATAATAATAAAACATTTATTCATTACCACCAATAAAATTACAATAAGCAGTATACACAGAAATAACCATAATTACATATTGTAGTAATGAATAGGCTCTAGCTCAGCATAAATGTTGCAGTTGCCCACAACGCTGTTATTCTGCCAGCGCCCTACAAATGAAGAGTACAGTACGCGCGCATCCCTGCTTTATTACATTTAATCACAACTGTTCATATTAGAGTACATCTCGTGGTTTCCCAAGTATTAGCGAATATTAAATATTAAATATTAGATATTAGCCAGTTCAGATTAGTAATTAAGAAATATTTTTAATATAAAAATAGAAATATTTTCATAAAATTTATATTTTTAATAATTATTACAACAATACAACTAACAGTAACAACAAAGTATTCAATGATATTTATTTTATTGATCCTAACTTATTTGAGCTTATAAGTCTACTACCGCCTACTGACAATGTTTATTTATTTTATTCATAAAAGTGCTCTGTAATTTAGTAAAAATAATTCGATATGACAGTAATTGTTCGCTTAGTAAGTGACGTCTTTAATTCTTTTTAAAACTGGTTTTATTTGTCATAGTGCGTAGTGGTGGTGGGAGATCATTCCAACACTTAGTTGCCATAAACTTAAAACTACCCCGGAAAGCCGATGTTTTGTGTTTAGGGACGCAAAAAACTTTAGAGCATAGTCGAATTTTATATAAATGTTGGTCATTTCTCCAGTTAAGTTTTTTGTATAAATATTCTGGGTTCTTTGTATTTATTACGCATTGCAAGAAAAAAGTTTGAGACGCCCCTGCATTTTTAACATATTCAAAGCATTAAGATATGACGTGACATGAGATCGTCGCGGTATGTTAAAACAATAGCGTTCACAAGCATTCTGTACCCTCTGGATTAATTTTTGAGATTTCTTAAGCAAACAAGGTCCGTAAACAGTTATACAATAATTTAATTTAGCTAAAACTAGAGTTTCACATAGTTTGACAGGTAAATTAACTGTAATGAATTGTTTAAATTTGAATAGAACTTTTAATCTGTAAAAGCAGTTTTGTACCAAATTGGTTACATGGGTTTCAAACCTCAAATTGCTGTCAAATAGAATGCCTAAATTTCGTGCTTCATGAACTTGTGCAATTGTCTCTCCATTAACACGTATATCGGGTTTTGTTATAGCAATATCATGTACCTGCTTTTTAGTGCCAATGATAAGGAATTTCGACTTTGAAGGATTAATTACCATGCAGTATTTTTTGACCAATCGCAAATACGTTGAAGATCCTGATTTAACTTATTTACTAAAGCGTTAATATATTTTCGGTCTATGGGTAAGTATACCTGTAAATCATCGGCGTATAGATGGTATTTACAGTTTTGGAGACAGTTATTATATCAGCGCTGTAAATGATAAAAAGCAAATGCCCTAACACGGAACCTTGAGATACACCTCTATCAACAGGAAGAAGCTTCCAGACACATATTTTACCATTGTGTCCGTCTAAAACTACTTGTTGATGACGGTCAGTTAAATAGCTTTTGAACCACTTGAGTGTTTCTTTATCAAAGCCATAATATGAAAGCTTATAAATCAGCAAATTTGTGTTAATTGAGTCAAAAGCCCTTGAAAAATCTAATAAAGTAAGAGCTGTTACTGTTCCGTAATTTTTTCTAAAACCTGATTGTGGGTGGGGTATGGGTTGTTTTTCACAGAAATCCAAAACTTGGGAGTAAACAACCTTCTCAAGTATTTTCGATAAATAAGGCAGTATACTAATGGGCCTTAGGTCACCTACATTTGTTGGGTTACTTTTTTTTGGTATTGGACGAATAAGCGCAGTTTTCCAAGAAGAAGGGAAAACAGACTCTGTAATGGATTTATTAATTATTGTAGTTATAACATTTAAAGTTTTCGGAAGCGTTATAATTATCATATCCATATTAATGCGGTCAATGCCATGATCATTTACTTAATTCCCATTATGATTTTTGCAACTACATTTTCATGACCTTGCATTAGCTTAAAAGTATCAGATATACGGTTTATACTTTCCAAATTAATTACATTAGATGAATAAGCGATGTTTGTTCCCGGTATACTCAAAAAGTGACGATTAATTTCGTCAGGATCACTAAAATATTCTGATAAGTCATTCGAACTTTTAAATGACGGTAACGCAAATGACTTCAATTTTTTCCATAGAACATTTTTGTTATGTAAATGTTGATTAATGTGGTAATCAAAATATGCCTTCTTCTCAGTATAGAAAGTTCTGTTTACCAGATTTTAAGGGTCTTATATTGAATTTTATCTCTCTCAGTTTTTGTGTGACGATATTTATTGTGCGCGCTATCACGGAGCTCCATAATGTACTTAACATTACTCGTGAACCATGGCGGTTGTTTCTTTCGTATAATTATTAGTTTCTCTGGAGCATGTTTATCAAACAACTCTAAAATGCGTTTGCAGAAAGCAGACACCATATCGTTCACACAATTGTACCTAGTTACCCAGTTACACTATACCAGTTTAGGGATTCAACTTCCGACTCAAAATCTGAGAGATTGATATTTTTCATAGGTCTTATAATTTGCTGCCTTAGAGCTACCTTAGGTCTTTTAATCTTAAAATCAACTAATATGATAGCATGACCACCAAATTCAGGAGTATATTTTACACTAGTATTTGTCACACCGACGTCCGTCATTACCAAATCAATTAATGTAGCACTCTCTTTTGTAAAATGGGTAGGTTGAAAAATACAGTTTTTTGTATATTGCAAAAATTGATTAAGCTGTTGCGTTTTGTTGTCACTTTCATCCAAAATATTGAAATCTCCTAATAAAATTATATTATCGAAATTTGAATACGAAGTTAAAGTGTCTGTAAGAGAATCAAAGAACCTTTCTACATTTACCCATTGTGGTCGATAGGCCGTTCCAATTAAAAGCTTAACTTTGTTGATAGATAGCGATAGCCACTGCTGCTCCACCTCATCAAAGATTATATCATGGGAATAAGAACGAGCATTAATCCCTCGTTTGATGTAAAAACCAACACGACCACCACGTGTCCTAGATAGGTTACTAGAACATAGACTGAAGCGGTAGCCGGGAACTAACGGAGCACAGGCATCCTCTCCAGCTCGTATCCACGTTTCGTTTATCGCCATAATATCAGCAGATTCACGTAGCAGAGCTGCCTGAAACTCATCGCTTTAACTTCTGATCGACCCAGCATTATAAAGGCCAACTCTTAAACTTTTACTTTTAGTAGTAGCCATGTTGTAATAATATTTTTACATGAATAATCATTTCATATTCGTCGATATGTTGCACACAAATAATTAAAGAGTTTGCACACAAATAGTTATAGTAAGATATAATATTATAATTTGAACTGGTTAGCATCGGCATGCATATAAAACATACAATAATTTTCAATATATCACCAAAAAATACATACAAACAAGCAAAAAAAAATTACAAAATATTCGCACAAAAATGAGAATAAAGTAAGGTAAAAATAATTATTAAAAAAATATTCAATATAAAAACAACATATTTCTATACTTGTACTAGCTAACAAAAGAAAGTAAGTAAAACTAATTAAGTTAAAATAACGTTAACCAATTCCAAAAAAATTAACAAAGTCATAAAAATGTTTACGCAGTAATATAGATTCTGCGGGGCAGAAGCTTTATTAGCAAATAAGGTTAAAAATACTACTACAAAAACAATATTGCTACTGCAAACTACTGCATAATATAGACGTAATAAAATATGGTATAAAACGTAGGAATTAAAAAGTAAAAATAACATGTAATTAATAATAAAGTATGAGGTATTATAAAAAGCACAATATTATGTAACAAAATGAACAAAAATAAAATAGTAAGGAGCCCCAAAATACAATTAACATTATTTAGAAATTTTTGAATAGGGTACACCAAATATTATGAGAGTCTTCACGCTTAACATAAACACGACCCCCCTTTGTCCATATAAATTTCCAATTTAAATTTCGAGCAATTTCACGTGTTTTAGCAAATAAAATGCGGTTTATTTTAGTTAAACGTTCATTAACATAAAAAGTAGTTGATTTGTGAGGTGGTAGTCCTAGGTCAGGTAATAAGCGTACGGCGCACTCGAGCATTTTTTAATAAGTGATCGCGTAATGTACGACGCGTCAATCTTACAGCCAAGGGGCGCTCACTAATAGATAATGATGTATTGATTTGCTTATATTTACGCGAACACTCACATTGAAATAATACTAATTTTTACGGAATTTATCGCGTTAATTTAACTTTTTAATTACCCGACGTTTCGAGAGCTTTACAGCACCCATGGTCACGGGAAGGAGTCCTTCCCGTGACCATGGGTGCTGTAATCTCTCGAAACGTCGGGTAATTAAAAAGTTAAATATACGCGATAAATTCCGTAAAAACTAGTATTATTTCAATAGATAATGATGTGTTGTTTTGGTTACCTATTCGCGTATCCTTATGCAGCCAATTTAAACGGCGACCGACAGCCAGCGCTCAGCACAAACTATGTCTTGTCCGTTAGAGATACTCCGAGCTTAGAGGCAACGGTCAACACAATATGCATTGTCGATTCGCCTGAAAATTCTGGTATTCCGACTATTTCGACATCATTTAGCAGGGCTTCTTGGTCTTTGTAGGATATTTGCTGCTGTAACTCCGTAACAATACTCTCCAAGTGTGTATTTGTTTGAACAGTTTGACGAGATTCAATTTCTTTGTGAATGCACACGTTTTCATTCTCGAATGCCTGCACTTTTTCACTAAGGGTATTGACCTCAAGCTTTAAGTTACTTACTTCTTGTGTTAAAGATTCAGTTATTGGCTTGAAATCACTTTCTAAATTCTTTAAAACGTCACGAAATTCTTGCTTGATTTCTGTGGTTTGACAAACATGTGCACTTTTTTAGTTTCGAGTCTAATTTTTGATCCAGCAATTTACCAACTTCTTCTAGGGAAAATGAAAAAGTATTCACTTTCCAGGATGCTCCATATTCGGGGACAACTGTTCGTTACTATCCTTTGTCTGCGAAATATTATCACAGGACATGTCAACTAAATCGGAGGGCACGATTCTTTACGATTTATTTTTATTGGGGTGTCATCATTTCTGTGACGTCTTTTAGTAACATTTGTACAAGTAGGGCACTTCCATGTTCGTTTGATTTGTTGGAAATTGCTCATAAATTTCACCGTTGTAATATTCAAACATCTGTAATGATAAGTTCCTTTACACGTAACAGAACCCCATAATTCTCCCTTCTGAATAGAATTCGAATATGCTAAGCATTTCATATTTACAGCTTATCAAAAGATCTTAACAAATAAACAAACTATTACTTTATGCAAGTCACACAAGTGGGTATAAAATAAAAGAATACGTTTGATTCGCAACAGCGTTTGATATCAAAGTCCACTGTTTTGCAAAATTCTCACTGTTGTCCTTATTTTACTCACACTGTAATCTTTGTCTATAAAAATCACTTTTATTCAAATATAATGTCTACAGTTTCACTTCTACAATTTCACATGCATAACGTTTAAGTTGAATTATACATTTTACAAACAATAATATTTTTATATAGGAGCTAATGTTATACGATGTTAACACAGCGATGCGCGCGCGCTCACTCCATAAAAATTACACAATTAAGTGCTGATTAACCACGAGATGGGCAGTGACGAGAAATTTCGTAAAGAATGCATTTACGAAGTATAAAGTATTTCCAGGATATATCGTACCTCAAATAAAATTTCGTTTAACGTTTTTCTTAATGAAATAATATTTGAATACTACATAGGAACTACAATAATCACCACTATAAAATCAAAATCATTTAAAATCTTAATTTTAGTTGTCTATTAATTGGGGTGCATAGTTATAAAAGATACTGATATTTATTCAAGTACAATTGGTTGTAAAAAGGCGTACAGAACATTCGTATATGATTAATGTTAATTATGCATAGTTATAAAAGATACTGATATTTATTCAATTACAATTGGTTGTAAAAAGGCGTACAGAACATTCGTATATGATTAATGTTAATTAGTTTGTGATGACTGTGATGTTTGCCTCTCTTGCTGTCTTCAACGGAACCATCAGATGTCTTCATCGATTCAGTCTATCTTCTTGACTACATTATGTATTACTCTATTATTGATATGAGTCTTGCATATTTGATTTTTTATCTCATTTTGGTCAAGTAAAATGTATAATATCCAAATATATTATACATTCTTTTAAGTAGTCATGTTTCTAAATTTTAAATATTGACGCTATATGCCTGCTGATAAAATCTCTTTCAACTCCTTCTAGCGGCGAGTTTTGGAGTTATAGGTACCTATAACCATTTTGAAGAATACAGTCAATAAACTTGTAACCCTATTTAGTCGGAGGTGCGATATGAAATGCCAACACGTATTGACACAGCCCAAGACGTATCCTATTAAATGCGCTTAAATTATGCCTAAATTTCGTTTTAAAGAGTGGTTCACGTCTTCTTTAGTACATACATTTTGCAGTAGAAATGTGTACTTTAATTTTCGTACTGCCACCTATATATTATAATATTAAATTCTTCAGAATATCCTAAAAGTGAAATTCAATCCATATTTATATGCACTTGAAACCTAACTGTCGTTTCACTAATCATTAATTTACAAAGATTTAAAAAATATCTGCCAGAGGAAGATCCGTTAGGCCGTGTAGTGGTGGTTGAGAATATCCACTACCCCATATCTTCCCGTGGGTGTCGTAAGAGGCGACAGAGGGAGACACGCAGAAGATGGGCAGCAGCATCTTTCTGATAACAACAGTGATATAATAAAAAAAACTGCGGTTGCCAACCCGCTCGCCAAGCGTGGCAACTATGGCAAATATCCCCCCATGAGTAACGACGCAAACAAACGGCCCCCAGTCCCCGGCGGCCCCGCTATTGCTGGCTACGGTGGCGACCATGGTAACGGCGGGGCAGGGGGTGCTAAGAATCTCCGGTGGAGGTTCGGTTGCCACCTACGATGACTCGACCTGGCAACATATAACGCACGCACCCTGAGGACTGATGAAAAGATACTGGAGTTGGAAGAAGAGGTAGACAAGTGGCGCTGGCATGTTATTGGGTTATCCGAGGTCCGAAGAGAGGGTGAGGACACGGTAATCCTCGAGTCCGGCAACTTGTTCTATCACCGGGAGGGTGAACATCTGTCCCAAGGAGGTTTCGGATTTATCGTCCACAAGTCTCTCGTCAACAACGTTGTAAAGATTGGGAGTGTGTCGACGAGGGTCGCGTACCTGATACTCAGAATCACCAAACGGTATTCGCTGAAGGTCATACAGGTGTGGCGACGCACACATTTATTTATTTACTTTATTTAAAGAAATAATTATTATTTCACAGATATGTATGTATACAATTTAATATTAATATTATGATATTTATTACATTTATATATCTACAATACAATTACAGTCACACACACATATATATTATACTATTTCTATTTATTATAGTAAATTTTATTTTAGCATTGTATTATAGTATAATTCTCGGTGCCGGCCGGTCGAAGTACATTGGAAACAAACATTCATTTTAATTGTTATCAACACCGTGTACCTGAGTACGTTCAACGACCAGCCAGTCGCAATCTGATCGTGTGACGCGAATACTGTGCCGCTTGCGCCTACGCCGAACTTTGCCCTTACGCATAACAAATATTATTTGAGTGTCCATTCCTATTTTATGTTAGTGACTGTAGACTGTGATTTCTGCTATAATCTCTAATCTGTTTGTAATCGTATAATTTCGTATTTATAATCGCCTTCTGCTTCTTCATGTGAGACTGTTTTTGTGTGTTGAACCGTGAAATATATAACTGTCCAACCGTGACTTATTTGTTTATTCCGGTGACGGACTTACCATCAGGTACCTTATTACACAACTACATTATACTCCATAACTGGTGACCCCGAGCAGAACATTTAAGAAAGATGAGCAGTGACAGTAGTGACACAACGCATTCGCAAAGAAGGGCGCGGTCAACGAAAAAATGTGAGCGCGTGTCCATTGACTCGCACGATAATGCATCAGAAATATTTCGTGTTGGCGTGAGAATACCACCGTTTTGGCCGGAAAAACCAACGATATGGTTTTCACAAATTGAAGGTCAGTTTAGCATATCGAGAATTACTGATGACTTGACGAAATTCCACTACGTTCTTTCACATTTGGACCGGCAGTATGCAGTAGAGGTAGAAGATATTATTACTTCGCCTCCAGCCACGGGAAAGTACGAGAAACTCAAAAGTGAGCTAATCAAGCGTCTTTCTATTTCGAAAGAAAAAAAGTGAAGCAGCTCCTACAGTCGGAAGAGTTAGGTGATCGTAAGCCATCACAGTTCCTGCGTCACCTGCAACACCTCGCTGGCCCTACGATACCAGACGATTTTTTGAGGTCACTTTGGACGAGCCGCCTTCCAAGCAACCTTCAGACCATCATCGCATCCCAGATGAGCCTGTCCCTCAGCGAACTCGCTGACCTGGCAGACAGGGTCCACGATATCTCACCGGCATCGCCGTTGGTTGCAGCAACATCCAGCTCCAGAGTGGACTCCACATTAGATATTATGGCACGGCAGATCACGGAACTAACAAAACAGGTTAGTGCACTCACAACGAGACTTAGCGACCGCTCTCGCCCCCGCCAACGACAGACGTCACGTGGGCGAAGCCGTACGCCATCGAGAAGGTCCCAGTCCAATTATAGGAAGTTCCCCAACTGCTGGTACCATCACAAATATGGCAGCAAAGCGAAGAGGTGCATCCAACCATGTGACTACAGAACGGGAAACGCAACAGGCAATCTATAATGGCGACTGAAGATTGCCCGTCCCCTACTACTGGTCGCCTTTTCGTGACAGATCGCAGATCGCGAGTTCAATTCCTGGTGGACACTGGAAGCGACTTATGCGTCTTCCCGCGATCTGCGCTTCATCAACGACGTGCGAAGACGGACTACCAACTGTGTGCAGCCAACGGTTCGCCAATAAACACATATGGTTATGTTGAGCTCAATCTTAATTTAGGCCTACGTAGAGACTTTGTGTGGCGCTTTACTGTGGCTGATGTAACTAAAGCTATTATAGGCGTAGATTTTTTTGTCACATTTTAACCTTATTGTCGACGTTCGTAATAAGCTTTTAATTGATGCCACTACTAAATTATCAGCTGTAGCTTCTATTGCTTCTAACGATAGCCATATTTTGAGTGTAAAGGTCGTGACTGGTGATTCTAAATTTCATAAAATACTTTCTGAATTTCCAGAACTGACACGACCGGCAGGCGCTCATCGCACACCCAAGCATCACACAGTACATCACATCCGTACCACGCCAGGCCCTCCAGTATCGTGTACACCACGCAGACTCGCCCCGGACAAGCTGAAAATCGCCAAGCTCGAGTTCGAGGCAATGTTGGCAAATGGAACTGCTCGTCCTTCCCAGAGCCCCTGGTCGTCACCACTACACCTCGCTCCCAAAAAGGATAATGGTTGGCGACCATGCGGTGACTATCGCATGCTCAACGCCCGGACAGTGCCAGATAAGTACCCTATCCGACACATACATGACTTTGCCCACAATTTATCTGGTTGCAAATTTTTTTCAACAATAGATCTGGTGAAGGCATATAACCAGATACCAATCTTTGAGGCGGACATTCCCAAATCTGCAATTACGACACCTTTTGGACTCTTCGAGTTCCCTTATATGACGTTTGGATTACGCGGGGCTAGTCAGACGTTCCAGAGGTTCGTTGATGAGATGACCCGTGGTCTAGATTTTTGTTACCCATACCTTGACGATTTCCTCATATTTTCACACGATGAATTAGAGCATGAAAAGCACCTTCGTCAAATATTTACGAGGATGAAGGATTATGGCATGCTCATCAACACCGCTAAATGCGTTTTCGGTGCATCAGAGGTAAAATTTCTAGGCTACCACATCTCACAACATGGAACGAAACCTCTGGAAGGTAAAGTTCAGGCTATAAAGGAGTACCCTGTTCCTAAAACAGCCAAACAGCTTAGGAGGTTCTTGGGCATGATAAACTTTTATAGGAGGTTTATCCCCCAAGCTGCCAAAATCCAGGCCCCCTTGAACGCCTTACTGACTGGCGCCGTTAAAGCATCGCATCCGGTCAATTTAAATGGAGACTCGTTGAAAGCCTTCGAAGAGTGTAAGGAAAGTTTATGCAATGCAGCATTGTTGGCACATCCTGACTCAAAGGCAAAACTTGGTCTTGTAACTGATGCTTCTGATCTTGCAATAGGTGGAGTCTTGCAACAGCAAATCGGTGGTGATTGGCAGCCCCTAGCCTTTTTCTCTCATAAATTGAGCCCGTCGCAAAGGAAATATTCACCATATGATAGGGAGCTCCTTGCGGTTTACGAGAGCATCAGGTACTTTAGACATTGGCTAGAGGCAACACCATTCACCATCTACACCGACCATAAGCCGCTGTGTTTTGCATTTCGCGAGCGAAAGGCAAATTGCAGTCCACGGCAATTTAGGCATTTAGACTACATATCACAGTTCTCAACCGACATACAACACATCGCCGGGAAAGATAATGTCGTTGCGGACACGCTTTCCCGGGTTGAGCAGGTCGATGAACTACTAAGCCCTGTAGATCTAGATGTCATTGCCAAGGCTCAAGACTCCGATCCAGAATTTGCCGATTTGCTAAGGCAGGACACTTCCTTACAAGTTAAAAAAATAAAGATACCTGGTAGTCGCAATGAACTGTACTGCGACGTCAGCACAACGACTCCCAGGCCTTTAGTTCCTAAAGCCTTACGCAAGCGAATTTTTGATAGCTTGCACTCGCTAAGCCATCCCGGCGCTAACGCTAGTGCAAAACTTGTAGCAGAACGCTTTGTCTGGCCACTGATGAGGAAAGACTGTCGCGAATGGTCTAAGGCGTGTTTGGCTTGCCAGCGCACAAAGGTAAATCGACACGTTTCGACGCCTTTTGGTACGCTCGATTTACCTACGGCGCGATTCAAATACGTACACTTAGACCTTATCGGACCTTTACCTCCGTCTGGTGATTATCGGTATTGTTTGACAGCTATCGATCGCTTCACGCGATGGACTGAAGCTGTACCACTAAAAGATATCACCGCGGAATCAGTGGCAAAAGCGTTTTTATCGGGATGGATAGCGCGGTTCGGTTGCCCTACCGATATTGTTACCGATCGCGGTAGGCAATTCGAATCAGCACTATTCGCGCAGTTATCAAGGTTCATTGGCTTTAAGCATCGCAGGACTACCAGTTATCACCCTCAATGCAA